TAATCTATAAAGTTATGTGAGGTGCTTACTTTTTGTCAATTTGTTAATCTACTACATAGGCGAGGATTTTATTTGTTTAAAAGTTTAGCCAAGTTTAATCACTTATATTGTCAGGACTTTTGTCTGTTAGCATTGTTACTTTTTCTGTTTTCATCAAACTCTGCATTGGACACATTATAGTTGTTAACTGCTTTTACGATACTTTTTTCAAATGCTTTTTGGTCCTTTTTTTGTGGTTTGACAGTCTCAGACCCCCACTACTTTCATTGTACTGCAAATAGCTGCTTTGAAATTGAGCTATTTTTATTTTTGAGTCAACTATTTCTTTAACTTTTATTTGTTAGTTCCTGTATTGTGTTTTAGCCTTTTATAGTTTCCTAACTTAACCACATTTCCCATATGTGGAACTTGCTGCAAGTTTGTGCAACATTTAAATAAAAACAACTATTTATTTCGTTCAAAGCTCTTGACATTAGCTGCAAAGAAGACAAGATGTTTGAAACTGAGCTCTTTTACGTGAGATCACGCTGTTTCAGTTGGATCACTCTGTGGGTTGCTTGTTATTTAAGCAAAGTCACCACTGTACTCTCCCCATGTCATGTTTGTATAAGAAACGTTGCTCCAGATGACCCCAGTGCCAAGTTACACCAACTCGCTGTCTTGTACCGCTGTTATTTGGGGGTTTTGTCTGTGTTTGGCTGATGTAATCTTTGGTTTTATGTTTACTGATGTCTTCACTGAGAAGATCAGTAGTACAGAACGGGCTTTGCAAAAGCGTATTTGTCTGACACACTCTGATTGGCTTCTTAGCAAGGTCACAAACTATTCTGTCGACTACAGTTGTTTGGTTTGGCTGTGAAAGCTTCCTGATCAGATGGTTTGTTCTTGAATGCTGTAAGATGGTTTGTTTGAATGGGAACGTGCCACAAAATTAAATGAAGCAGTTCTGCATGCTAAATGAGCTATATGTAGCAAATCGACTTATCTTGTACCATTGTTGGATGATAGATCTTGAATTTCATTTGCATGGAAATTGTCCCACAGAACAGTTTCACAGTCCTCTATCAATCACAAAACCAAGCAATATTGTGATCAAATGACCAACTTACAGGTGACCTTGAGTCAGTGGTTTGTCGAAAGACATTTTACAGACATCTAAGTAAAAGTTGGGCATTTTCATTCCAAGGTGGTCAATTAGCAAATCAAAAACCTTCGTTGTCATATACGGCAGTTCTTCTTGGGAAAGCATCAGTCAGGTCACTCAGTTATACATTAGTCACTAAATGAGCTGTGTAGCCTTGAGAAAACCCAATGCAGTGAAACCAGATCATTGCATTAGCAAAAACTAACAAGAACTGGACAACCTTATTCTTTCTCCCTATTCATCTTATATTCGCTTACTTGAATGTTTCTTTTTCTCCCCAAAAAAAGGAGTCAAGAGGAATGGTGGGTGAACCACAAAACTCTACAAGTTAGCATTGGATTCCTTTGGCTTGTTTCTCAGTAACAGTTTGACCAGCCAAAGTCTCGCTTGGCTCGCTCAGGGTGGTTCGCATCTTTCGCTTGCACAAGGAGAGAGAGACGAGGGAACCATTAGAGCTCCAAAATGTGTCCAGTGTCCTCACTCTTGCCTCACTTTCACACCTTGAAAATAAATTATGTATGACATTTAAACCACACTTAACTTAAAGACCAAACCTCTGTTTGTTTGTGTATCCCAAGGCAGTAACATTGGCTCAACCAATGGTTTGAGTTTGGGGGCGGGACTATCGGTTTGTCCAACCAATGTAAGACGGAGATAATGTGTTCAAATGTTTGGAATTCACATCAGTGGTGCAGAAATGACACATTTTAGCTTTTCTAAACAACTGTGATGTAGTGTTTATAACTTTTGAGATGAGTTAAGAAATTTATTGGGGTGAAATTCAGTTTTTGAGGTCATCTAGCTCTTGTGTGCTGTTGGTGTGTCTGAGTCTACGTGTCTTCATGAGTTAAGGTGAGGAAAAGCACAGGATTTAGCAGAGATTTCGAGAAAGCAGTGCAAGCACACTTTGACCCACTTATGATTCAGTCAAGATTGAGATTCTACTAAACTTCTTATGAACTGTTATTGTACTGGCAAAGGCAACCCAGTTCTTGAACAGTACATCCCCAAATCCCTCGGCTCCTGTGTCTGTGTGTGTGTGTGAACACGTATATGCGTATTTTTGTGTTTGCATGCATTTTAGGTGCCCCCTCAGGACCCAAAAAGACAATCATTCAATCAGTCATCATGATTACTGGCATCTCACCACATATTCAAACACACTCTAAAAATTATGAGCTTGGGTTTCTCCCCATTTTTGAGAAGCCACTTTATTTAAATCCTTTTTGTTGGCGAGATGGAAAAAGAAACTCAATCCCACTTCTGGTTTCAGTCTTCTACCTTTGAAGCTTTTACGTGCTTAATACCGATTGTTTCCCATCTACTTATTTCATGTACCATACATATAGTCAACCTGACCGATGTTTTAAAGATGGCTTGTTGAGTACAGTAATAAATACATGATTTCTTATTGTGACCAACATGCTTCCTTTTCTGTTCGAGCAGCTCTGTGACCAAGAGGAAATATTTATCTTACAGTGCTGATTTTGGAGCTCTTTAGTTGGACTACATTGAGACCCACAAGTCCCCCAGACATTTCCCAGCTTTCTCTGCCCAAGCCAGGCTTTTATGGAAAATGGCTTTGTCCATGAAGCAGATCCTTGGTCAAACCGCCCCTTCCACGGTTTGTTACCTCAAGCTCTCGCTGTTCAGGCCTCAGGCGTCCAACTTCTGTCAAGCTAGCATGAGGGGAATAAAGATAGGTAGTGTGGTGTTTATGAATATTGTGCCCCCCCTGCTCGGTTGTAAAATATCAGGGTTTGCTTCAGGGGCTTGGATGGTTAAAATGTGGAACATCTCTCCGCTGTGGGCTGAGACTTCTCGTCTTCATGATGATTATTTTTCCAACACTTGCTCCACGACCTCTGCCAGAACCCGATCTCAGACTCGGATACCCTCATCTCAATGTCATTCAGGATCTGTTTGCACAGTTTCAGCCATCATCCACTCCAGACGGCCCATGGCTGAAGTGTAATGTTGTTTGAGAGTTGGTAAATGTCAGCCGAAGCTGGATTTTTCCTTTTATTTGATGAATAAGAAGCTGAATAGTAAGTAATTTCATTTTCCGTATTTGCATGGAATGGCATTTCATTTTCTCCCAGATAGTCATCACCTCTATACAAGTCTCTTTCTGTCTTTCTTTCTCTCTCTCTCTCGTTCCATTTGTTTATCTGTCTGATGTTCTCTCTCGAGCTGTGCGCTGTGGCTGTGAAAGTCTTTATGTCGGCTAGCTGCCAGTAGCTTCCCTCCTTTTGGCTTGATTGATCAAACCCAAGTGTAGCAGAGGAGCTCTCCATGTGCTCTCTTAGTTTACCGCAGTATGTACCTCCCGCAGAGCACCAGAGCAACGTTTGATTGCCAAAGGCTGTGAACCAAGTTATATAAATGTGTTCAGTGGTATTGCTCAGTGGAGTCGCAGGTTTATTTGTGACAGGAAAGTCCTGAGTGTTGTTGAAATATAAAATGAAGAATATAAAAATGTAAATTCGAGCTAGAGCTGGAGGGTATGTTGAATATTCACAATATACTTTTACTATTTTTACATTTTTTAATATATACTTTAATATATTGTATTACAATGCACATATTATTTAGACACGTTTCTTGAAGATCAAATAACTTTGTTTCACAATCTCTCCTTTCCTTGTGAAAGTAATGCATTTTGACCGATGTTTTAATATCTAGTCTCATTTATATACTTAACTTAAATATTTAATATGTAGTCTCATTTCAGTTTCAACCATTAAGTTTAATTTCTTCTAATCAGTTCAAGCTGTTTTAATTAACTGGTTTTAAATGAACCTTAGATTCAATAATTTGTTTACATTTGTACCTAAATGTTTTACATGAAAATATATGTTGGTAAATACCGTATTGATTTATTTTAAAAGTATTATCATATTGGTATATTTAAATTTATTAATATAATTTATTATTATTAATATATATATTGAAAAAAACAACAACATTGTAAACATGCCTTGAAATTTTTTTAGTATATATATATATTTTTTTTTTTTTTTTTTTTTTTTTTTTTTTTTTTTTTTTTTTTTGAAACAATTTTTT